AAAAGCACACAGATGGGTGACTTTATTAAAAAAAAACCTTTAAGATTTGAAATCCATGGAAACATTTATAAATACTGATACCAAATGATACTGAAACTTAATATTAGGCTATTTAAAAAAAATCAGAGAATAATGGATTTTTAATCATTGGAATGTAGTTGCAAAATCCTTTAGGTACATTTCTAGAGAAAGTTGGATTTGCAAAGAGCTAAGTCTGAAATTATAAAATACCTTTTGGAACTTTGCCATCTGTAAGGGAGGTGAGTTTTGTTATTTCATTAAAAGAAGATTGTAATTCTTTCTCCAGATCAACTTGTATTTTTTTCTTTGCCTCCAGTTGGCTTTGATATAACTGAATATCATTTTCCATTTGCTTGCATGCACTTGCAAGTTCTTTCTACGAGAGAAACAACACAAATTCACAAAAATGTACAGATCATTACAACTGCTTTACTGAAATATAACAAAAATCACTGACCATTTTCTGTTTTAGCTCCAGATTTTCACTCCTAAGACAGGCTGCTTCTCTCTTGGCATCAAGGGCTACAGCCTCAGCATCAAGCAGGGTCTGTTTCATCTGTTTCAGGTCTTGAGTGTTTTCCTATACAGACAACAAAAAAGATTTAGTGAAATCTAACTTTCTTAGAGTTGGAAAAGACTTTAGAGAACACATACATAGACGTTATTCCTAACAAATCAAAAATAGTGAAAATATGCTAATTACCAAATGTGTTTTTAGGATAGATGAAAAGAAATGACATTTTCCAAAATAAAAATATTTTTAAAATTCTGGTTATCTTTTTTCCAAATTATAAAAGCACTGTACAGAAGTATTATAATTTAAGAAATCTGTCATTGTTTAAAAAAGGTTAACACAATTGTTGTTCAGCTAGCCTGTTAAAGTTTCCTACATACTTAAATTATTCTCTCCAAAACATGACAGATGAGCAATTAATAGTTAAAATTAAGAATATTATATCACAAATTGACAAAAAAAGAAACAATGCAATAGAAAAAGAAGAGATATGAATAGGCAACTCACAGAAGAGAAAATATAAACTACTGATAAATACATAAAAAGATCCACTATCTCATTTCAAAGAGAAGTGGCATTTTAACATGACTTTAGCTGACATGAATTCAACCATACGTCCTTGGAAAAACTTTAACGCATGAATGAATGAATGAATGAATGAAGAGAAAGAAATAACAATTTTTAAAAAGTGGGCAATTCTGCTTGCCACTCTATCAGTAGACACTCCAGGATTATATGCAAGTGCCCTTCTTCCCAGGGCCTCCAAACAGTAACAACACTTTTAAAAAGAATCATTTGTCATTAATAGAAAGTAACAAAAATCACTCTGAAAAGCTCAAATGAAAACAAAAGAACAATAGAAACTAAGATTAAAAAAATTCTAGCTAGAAACCGTTGTATTTTTAAAAGGGGTGTTAAAAACTAGAATCGGGTTGGCCCGGTGGCATAGTGGTTAAGTTCGTGTGCTTTGCTTCGGCAGCCCAGGGTTCTCGGGTTCAGGTCCCGGCGCGGACTTACACATTGCGCATCAAGCCATGCTGTGGAGGCGTCCCACATACAAAATAGAGGAAGATGGGCACGGATGTTAACTCAGTGCCAATCTTCCTCAAGCAAAAAAAAAAAAAAGAGGAAGACTGGCAACAGATGTTAGCTCAGGGCCAATTTTCCTCACCAAAACAAACAAACAAACAAACAAAAACACATAGACAAAAAACCCAAAAAAATACCTAGAATCAAACTGATACTTTCTTGAAGTAATCAGGTGGATTGAAAGCAAATAAAAAAATTAACAATTTCACCATGAGATTCAATGTTATTTAATGCCATGATCTGATACCAACTAAAATCATCTACAGCTAGTTTCTGAAAAATACTCACCAAACTGTTAAAAGTTACTTAAAATATAATGAGAATGTGTTAATATTAAGTAAATTTATGAAATTTATAAAATCATGCTCAATTACATGTGATATATGCTTTATAGTTCTAGTTATTTATCAACACCAACACAAGGGCACACCTGAAGATACTGACTACACACTTCTCCATACATTTATATAAAACAATTCAAAAAATTAAAAATCTTTTTCAATTACTGGTTTTTAATGGAAGCTCACCCCTAACTTACTTACATCCACTCAAAGAATGATGTCCTCAACTCTCTATGAATGATTCTTTATCTGCAAAATGGCAACGATACTAATAGTCCCTTTCTCATAGAGTTATCAATAGGATTAAATAAAATACTATATGTAAAACAATTACAACCATTCCTGGCATACAGTAAGCTCAATGTAAACATTTTCTATGATAATGATGATGGTATACTATAAATGCCAAGATGATTACACAACAAAATAAACCTGATTTTTACTGATGAGTATTACAAGTCCATTTTCATATTTTCTGATTTTTGAGAGTCTATGTATTTCTGTAGCTTTTTAATCTGGTCTTCCTTTTCTCTAAGCAGCTCTACTTTTGAACTTAGTTCATTCTAAAAGAGTCAAAGGAGAGTGAAACAATTTAATCAGATCTAAATTCTAAGAGATTAAAAAGAACTTACATTTAATAGTTTAGATAGTAAAATTCAAAAGTTGGTATTTAAAAACATAACTCCTATTTTCTGAAATCATGTTCAATTCCATATCATGTATACTTTATAGTTCTAGTTCCCTATCAACAGAAATACCAACATAAATGCTCACCTCAAGATCTTGATTATACACTTCTGCATGCTTAACTAAATTCTTTAAGTTGGAAATTTCATGAATTAGTTGCATCTGTAAGAGCATGTGAACAGGCAACAGAGCAAACCAATAGTTAATAAAGCAAAAAAAAAAAAAAAACCCCCCCCCAAAAAAAAAAAAAAAAAAAAAACCAAA